ATATATTTATAGGGTATAGTGATGTAAAATTTAAAATTCAATGTGCAAGAAAAGTCATGTTGAAATACCATTTTGTTTTCCTGGAACTTAATTTTGCCGTTTTCTGTGAGTTTCCAAGTCTAGAACTCCAGATTCAGAGTGACTTGTAAAATATTGCGGAAAAGAAATGGAACGTAATGCACCATGATGAGACCTGCAATATGTTCAATCAATTAGTTGTTAATTACCAGGTGCAGAACAGAGAGGAGGAAGTGTCTTAACTGAAGCAAAAGGAAGCTCCTCCAAAGTCGGAAAAAAATGTAAAATCTCAAGGATTCAGGTAGATATATTAATTTAATTAATTACAAAGATTAATTATGTTAATTTGATGTAACTGGTTCGATTGTTCTGCATATTTGTTTGCTAGCTTTACTTGATAAGTTAGGGAAGTATTGAATGAACTACTGAAATAGAATGTTGAATGAAAACAGAAAGTAAAGGAAAACTTGAAGAGGATGAAGGCAGAAGTAGTGAAACAAAGAGCAGAAACAAGTCACATAAGGCAGCTACTAATGGAAGAAACGGCAATATTTCAAGCTGCCGCGGAAGGGATTGAATCAGTACTTGTCCAAGCTTGGGCTGAGAATGAGTTGATGCTGGAGCAAAACCAGGAGGACCAATATCTTTTGATGCTAGGCGCTGGAGATATGTCTTAGATGGTCTGATATATTGAGATTGAAGTTGAATTGGTGCGAAACAGAGCGTATAGAAAATAATGGCCCTATGTGTGCATGTATTAATTGCTCACTCTGTACTTTGGTCCATGTTTGTTGTGTGGTATTACAATCATCTTCTATGTATACATCTCTTTTAGTCCATGTTCTGTTACGCTTTTGAAAAAGTGAGTTTACATTTTGATGCTATATAAGCTGAACGTATACCGTAAGCGCTTGGGAAGCAATTATGTCAATACTATCCTGAACTCGTTCTCCTGTTTCCGTAAAAACTCAAGCAAAAGTCCAAAGAAAAGTTAGAATTATGTGATTACTCTGGGATTCTTTTTATTGTTTGTGCATTGATATTCTTTAAATAAAGGATCAGAAGAACTTGCAAAACTAGCCTTCACTTGTGCTTCATGCTCGGTCCCTGCCCCAATTTCTTCAATTTTGTCTAGTTGCGGGTTGAGCTTGAAGATAATTGGGCCCGGGCCGCTGGAAGTAGAAGATGTAGGACTGCTGGATTTTCCAAATAAAGGGGAAGTTTCTCGGGCTCGAATTATGTGGGGCAGGCAGAGTCGGTTAATTTGGTCACTCCAACAGTAGCGGCTTTGTTAAGGCTTGAGGCACTCCAACTGCAAGTTCCTAGGCAAAATGGGGAGGATATTGGAAATCAAGTTCGGCCTTGTGAGATTGCTTCTCTTAGCAATTTGCAGTTAATTGGGGTTACAATTAAGGTTGTCAAATCAAGAGTTTAAATAAATTTATTTTGTATACTTAAAATTAGAATTATAAAATCGAATTGATAAAATTGAAAGTTTATTAAATTTAATATATAATATAAAAATTAATAAATTATTAATTTGATAAACCTTTAAAAAAAAGTAGATGTTGGGTTTATAATATCATGAAGCAAGAGTTGGGTTGGGTCCAAATAGTTTCATCTCATATAATTTTTCGATATTAGTCATTCTGGGCCAAGTCTCACAAGTTCCTTCTTTTCCTTTTTATAATATTTTCTTCAAATTGTGAGGTTTAAAGATGGCAAAACCTTCAAATTCACCTTAAAAAAATATCGGTAAGGACACATCTACCCCACAAAAAAATGCAAAGACAAATCGTCCCTCCAAATCGTAAATTAATACAAATCACCCTTTTTTCAACGAAAAATATCACAACTCTGTTTGCCACGTCAGTATTTTTTAACAGAAAACGTTGAAAAAATGATGATTTGTATTGATTTATGATTTGGAAAGGTAATTTGTCTCTGTTTTTTTTCAAGTGGTGGATGTATCCTTACCAATATTTTTTAAGGGTGAATTTGAGGGTTCTGCCTTTAAAGATTCCAAACGTGAATCTAACTCATATGTCATTATTTTTATTAGTAAGTAATAATCATTCTCTTTCATTTATTTTCGTGAACGTCTGTAATTGTGAGTAGCTTATTTAGCACCCAAATCTAAGCTCCCCCAACCAACTTCGACCATATCAATGTAATGATGGTTGTTATTGCTCGTCCACTCTCATCCACGCCCGCCTGCCTCCAGCCATCATTGCCGTCGCTAAGCTCTTCTTTTTGCCCAACCATTAACATGCAATTTCATCTTATTTTAAGTGATTTAACAAGTCTAACATAATTTCACACTGATTTCATATGATTTTGATCTTAAATGTGAGTTGACTCAAAATTGACATTTGTGATCGTAAACTTATGTGATTTTATGAGTTAAATCACAAGTTTGACAACCTTAATTAAAATACAAGGAGCTAGAGGAAACAAGGAAGGCTTGATGGGAATGGAATGCTTTGGGTATTGGGAGGGGAAAATGGAAAAGAACAAATCGGAATATGGAAGTTTTCCCCAAATCAAGTAAAAAAGAGAGAGAGAGAGTACGGGGAAAGAGAGATGATGCAAGATCAAGATGTTAAGGAGTGAGCTATTTAAGTTTTAGTTGATAATTTTTATTTAAAAAAAAAAAACAATGGAAGAATAGAAAAGTTCTAAATTTGTGATTTTATTTTTCTAAGGATTCAAAAATTTTTAAGATAAAATAAAATTTAAAAATTTTCTTAAAATTTGATACAAAACTTGAACTTTATAATTGAAATTTATATTAACCAAATAAATATTAATTGTAGGGTTGTATCTATCTACAGAGACACTATCTTTAAAAAAAATCAATTGACTGCACAGATTCATGTTTAAATTTTAAACACATTTCTTCAATTATGAATGGCAAAATTAAATTGAAGATTTTAAGATTAATAAAAAATAATAATATAATTTCTAGCAAGTCAAGGCCTCAATAT